GGTCAAGAAGGACGGTACCATCCTGGGCGTCACCTACGACAGCATGCTGGACACCGGCGCCTATCTCCAGCTTCTCACACCGGGATTGCCGCCGCTCACGGGCTTGATGATCAGCGGGTGCTACAAGATCCCCACCCTGAGATTCAGTTCCACCGGCGGCTTCACCAACAAGGTCGCCACCGACGCCTATCGTGGCGCCGGAAGACCCGAAGCCACCCTGGTGATCGAGCGCACCATGGACTTGATCGCGCGCGAGCTGGACATGGATCCGGTGGAGTTGCGCCGGAAGAACTTTGCCCAGCCTACCGATTTCCCGCTCCCGGTGGCCACCGGTCTGGCCTATGACAGCGGCAACTATCAGGGGGCGCTGGACAAGGCGCTGGAGATGGTGGGTTATGACGACCTTCGCGCCGAGCAGAAGCGGCTGCGGGCGGAAGGCCGCTACCTCGGCATCGGTTTCTCCACCTATGTCGAGATCTGCGCCATGGGTCCTTCCGCGGCGCTGCCGGCCGGAGGATGGGAGAGCGGCACCGTGCGGCTGGACTTCACCGGCAAGACCACCGTGCTGACCGGCGTGTCACCCCACGGACAGGGGGAGGAAACGACTTTCGCGCAGATCGTCTCCGATGAGCTGGGCGTTCCCATCGAGGACATCGCCGTGCTTCACGGGGACACCGCCATTGTGCCCAACGGCATCGGCACCTTCGGGAGCCGAGGCATCTCCGTGGGCGGCACGGCGGTGTATATGGCGACGCAGAAGGTCAAGGAGAAGGCCGAGGCCATTGCCGCCAACGTGCTGGAGTGCAGCGCCGAGGACCTGGAATTCGAGGACGGCAAGTTCACGGTCAAGGGCGTGCCCGACAAGGGCATCACCATCCAGGAAATCGCGCTGCAGGCACACGTGGCGACCAAGCTGCCCGCGGGCATGGAGCCGGGGCTCCAGGCGACCTCCGTCTTCGAGCCGTCGAACTTCGCGTTCCCCTTCGGCACCCACATCTGCGTGGTGGAAGTGGACACCCAGAGCGGCGAGGTCGAGATCAAGAAGTACGTGGCGGTGGACGACTGCGGCAAGGTCATCAACCCGATGATCGTGGACGGTCAGGTACAGGGCGGCATCGCCCAGGGGCTGGGACAGGCGCTTCTCGAAGAGGTGGTCTACGACGAGGACGGCCAGCTCCTCACCGGCAGCCTCATGGACTACGCCGTGCCCCGGGCGGAAGACCTGCCGCCCCTGGAACTCGCCCGCACGGAGACCCCGTCGCCGGTGAATCCCATGGGGGTCAAGGGAGTGGGCGAGGCCGGGACCATCGGTTCCACGCCCGTCCATCGTCAATGCGGTGGTGGATGCGCTGGCGCCGTTCGGCGTCACCCATATCGACATGCCGCTCAAGCCCGAGAAGATCTGGCGCCTGTGCCAGGGCGGTACGAAGTAAACAGATAGCGAGAGCCGATCATGATACCTGCAGCCTTCGATTACATCGTTCCGGACAGTCTCGAGGGCCGCGGCCGCCAGCCTGGCGGAGGCCGGCGACGACGCCAAGGTGATGGCCGGCGGGCACAGCCTGCTGCCGATGATGAAGCTCAGGCTGGCTCAGCCCTCGGTGGTCATCGACCTCAAGCGGCTGGACTCCCTGCGTCAGATCCAACTGGACGGCGGCGCGCTCCGCATCGGCGCCCTGGTGACACACCACCAGGTGGAGACCTCCGGCGAGGTGGCGGACAACTGCCCGCTGCTGGCCATGACCGCCGGCAGCATCGGCGACCCGCAGGTGCGCAACTCGCGGCACCATCGGCGGCAGCGTGGTCCACGGGGACCCGGCCGCGGACTGGCCCGCGGCGCTGCTGGCCCTGGGCGCCGAGGTGACATTGACGAGCAAGGACGGCTCGCGTTCGGTGGCCGCCAAGGACTTCTTCCTGGGTCCCCTGACCACTGCCATCGAGCCCGCCGAGATCCTGGCGGGCGTGAGCGTTCCGGTGCCCGCCGCCGGCACCCGCGCCGCCTACCGGAAGGTCAAGCAGAAGGCTTCGGGCTTCGCCATCGTCGGCATCGCGGTATGCCTGCGAATGGACGGCGACACCTGTGCCGACGCCGGCATCGGCGTCACCGGCCTTGCGGCCACGCCCTTCCGGGCCACCGCGGTGGAGGACCAGCTCAGGGGCAAGGCGCTGACGGCCGATGTCATCGCCTCGGCCGCGGCCCAGGTGACAGATGGTGTCGAAGCCCTGCACGACATCCACGCGTCGGCGGACTTCCGCTCCCATCTGGCCCGGCTCAACACCGCCCGCGCCATCCAGGACGCCCTCAGCAGCTAGTTCCGACGAGGCCGGCGACCCGCCGGCCTCGTATCAACCCCACAAGGACGGAATCATGCCCAAGGCGCTCAGCGGCCTGATGGGAATGCGCCACATCGCCCTCAACGTCAAGGACGTCGAGCGCTCCAAAGCCTTCTACCAGGACATCCTGGGCATGGAGGTCGTGTGGCAGCCCGACCCCAGAACGCCTACCTCAGCTCCGGAACGGATAATCTCGCCCTGCACGAGACCCCCGGCGACCGGACGCCCGCCGCCACCTCGTCCCTCGACCACCTGGGCTTCATCGTCTCCGACATCGACCGCGTCCGGGAGCTCGAAAGCGAGTTCCGCGCCAGGGACATCACCATCATCAAACCCTTCAAGCTCCACCGCGACGGCAGCGCCTCGTTCTATTGCGCCGACCCCGACGGCGTCGTCATCCAGATGCTCTACGAGCCGACGCTGAGCAAGCAGAAGATTGGAGGGGTATGGCTCTAACTATCACGTCTCGGATAAGCAATACGAACACATCCCCCTGTCGTTTCGGCGGCGATCAAATCGTGACTACGAACGATCAGTCAGTCTTTGAGAGGCGAGAAGTCTCGAACAACCGTTCGCAATGGCCGCATCGTTGGCGTACCGTTGCGGGTTTGATGCGCTGAAGAAGATGCCGGGCGTGCCGGATTTTGTGGTATGTCCCTTTTTGTGTCCCCGCGGTAGCGCTCGTTAGACTCTCACCGATATCATCTTTGCTCACTTCCTCAAGATTCTGCCGGCGAGGCAACGCATTCGCGCGGAACCGCTGCCCATAGTAGTCCTTGAGTGCTTCTCTGTCGGCAACGATCCATGTTTCCATCGTCTGAACCATGAGGTGGACCATGTCGCTATCGACGCCGTGAAGATCCCATCGTCACGACTAGTCAGATGATCGAGGGGCTCCATGGTGACAGCGCTTCTGAATCGACCAGAAGTATGACGATTCCAGAGTCACCGTTCGTACGGGTGTTTTGAAAGCGCTTGTGCGCCTCGTTGCGGGAACCGCAGCAAACCAGCTTCCAATGCCAGTTACGCGACCGACAGGCATCCTTGATTTCGGCCAGAAATACTTCCATGCCTTCACGCAACGCGGACTTGGCGTTCTTGCCGTCCCCACCACCCTCCATATAGATCGCGAGGTTCACGGATTCGCGCCCAACTCGCCCATCCGCCACAAGTCGCCGAGCGCGTAATCCTTCAGCCAGTCCGCAAGTTTGGCAGAGTCCAACCGACGGAGCGTCGTTCCCGTCCCAATCCGCTCACAAGCGATAACAGCGTATCCGGTTTGCCGGTCAGGGCAGATACGAGCGTGTCCGAATGGGTAGCAACAATAAGTTGCATTCGCTCGGACGCATCTATTATGAGATCGGCGACAAGGGAGACGGCGTCCGGATGCAAACCGAGTTCCGGTTCGTCGATACAGACCAGAGGAGGTGGCACCGGCGTCAGCAACGTCGCGAGAAGCGCGACGAATCGGATCGTGCCGTCCGAGAGGCGAGTCGCAGGAACCGGAGACCGGAAGCCTGTTTCATGCAGGTAGAACTGTATGGCTCCGCCGGTAACTTTGGTGGACATCCGTTCGAATCGGGGAAAGAAGCGTTTGAGCAGTTTGTTGAACTCCAGCCAAACTTGATGCTGCTCGATCTCGTTGAGGATCAGCGCGAGATTCCGGCAGTCGGGAAGGATGCGGTCTTCGGGCAGGTCTGCTGGTTGCGGCAGACGTGACGCAGTGTAGCGCCCGAAGGTCCAATCCCGGAGCATCTGAATACCACCAAGCTGCCGCCCCAACCAAGTGAGCTCCGGATAGAGTTCCGGGTCCCTGATTTGTGCCAGAACGGATTGATCCGGGCGCAGTTCCTTTCGCTGAATCCTGCGAGGTCCGTTGCTCCAATCATCGCCTTGGTTGCGAATCCTTAACTTGATCTCAGGGTTTCCCCTCTGAAAGCGATAGTAGAAATATGGGTCCTCACACCCTGGGCGGGGTTTGATCTCTTCGATGGCTTCGTCGACCACTTCGACCCGTATGTTGTCGGTGGTGAACTCAAGGCGATAACGCAGTGCCCGATCGGCAGTTGTCGTTAGCCCCGTGTTCGTGTCGCCAGTCTCCACCTCTATTTTGGCGACCTTTCTTGTGGTTTCCCCTTTCCAGAACCACTCCGTGGCCCCCCCGCCCTCCCGGATCGCGGCGGCAAAGTCGGTCGGGGTTGCGCGAAGCAGATCGATGGTTTCGATAATGTTCGATTTTCCAGACCCGTTCGGTCCGATGAGAACATTGAGATCGTGAAGTTCAAAGGGCGGCATGCCAGGAGGAAATGACAGGAGTCCCGGCATTTCGAGGTTACGGATGAATTTCATGGCCACTGCCTCCAGATTTCGCAAGCGCACAACCGCCCGCGTACTCACGAAGTCAACTAGGTCTTAGCCACAGGAACATCAGGCAAGCGTTCTGAAACTAGTGCAGCGGCAGGGTGAGTGACTCGCTCCGCGAGTTGCCTGTGACGGTGGCGGTGGGCGGAAATCGGTTCTGGTACGTGAAAGGATATACAATCATTAAACCGTCAGTTTTGTGAGAATTCGCATATTGGGGGCGTTTTCTCAGGAACACCAACATTCGCGTCTTAGCCACAAGAAACAGCATGGCAAGGGCTCATGAGCAGACTGGGTACCCGCGGTCACTCCCCCTGCGCAAGTCCCTCCACAATCCCCTCCGCCGCTGTTTCGCCGCCGTGGATGCAGTCGGCGATGCCCACGCCGCGGTAGCTTTTGCCGGCCAGGGCGAGGGTGGGGAACTGCTGTAACCGGGTCTCGATTCTCTCCACCCGGTCCAGGTGGCCAACGTTGTACTGGGGCATGCAGTCGGGGTAGCGGGTGGTGCGGCAGAGGATCGGCGTGCCGGATATGCCGAGGAGCGCCTCCAGATCCTCCCGGACCTGGGCTTCCAGGAGCGAGTCCGGTTGGTCGAGCAGATCCGGTTGCAGGGCGCCGCCGGCGAAGCAGCGCAGCAGGGCGGTGTCTTCGGGAGCCCTTCCGGCGTATTTGACGCTGCTGAAGGTGCAGGCCATGATCTTCCGGCGTTCCACGTGCGGGACCACGAAGCCGTAGCCGTCGAGGGGATGAGGGATGTCGCTTCGCCGGTACGCCAAGTTGATTGTGGCGGTGGACGAGAAGGGGATTGCCCCCAACTCCCCAGCCAAATCGGAGTCCAGTGGCGCCAGAGCCTGCGCCGCTGCGAACGCGGGTAGCGTGCAGATGACGGCGTCTCCCTCAACCGAGCCGTGGCCGGTGTCCACTCGCCAGCGGCGGGCCTCGGCGTTCCAGGAGAGCTCCCGGACCGTCTCGCCAAGGCGCACCACGCCCGGCCCAAGCGTCTCCTCGATGCGGCGCACGAGCACTTCCATGCCGCCGTCGATGCTGACGAACAGGCTCCAGCGCGCGCCGGTCTCGCCCGCGGCCTGTGCCCGGCGTTTCTGCGCCTGCCGGCTCCCGAGGATGACGCTGCCGTGGTTGCGCTCCATATCGGGGAACCGGGGCATGGTGGCAGCCAGGCTGAGGGCTTCCGGGTCCGAGGCGTAGATGCCGCCGATGAGCGGTTGCGCGACACGTTCCAGGACTTCCCGGCCCAGCCGTCGTCGCACGAACGATGCAAGGCTCTCGTCGCCGTCATGGGAGCGCCGGGGTATCAGCGGTTCCAGCGCCATGCGCAGCTTGCCGCTCCAGGAGAACACGGGACTTTGCAGCACCGATCCCACCCGCGTGGGGGCCATCAACAGGAAGCCCCTCGGGGAGCGGCTCAGCGCGCCCCGGTGAACGGTTAGTAGAGTTTCAAACCCGCCTTGTTGCGGCGCAATGAGGCGATCAGCGAGGCCCAGGCGCTCACAAAGGCGTAGCGCGGCGGGCTTGTCCGTGATGTAGGAATCCGGACCGAGCTCCAGCAGGAGATTGTCGGCATGCTCGGTGGCGATGACGCCTCCGAGGCGGTCGGAGGCTCCAGCAGTGTCACCCGGTATGCCGTGGACCCGGTGCGGCTCAGCTCTGTCAGCCGGTGTGCCGCGGCCAAGCCGGATATGCCCCCGCCGATGACGATGATGTCCTTGGTCATGTCTACCGCTTGGCAGGGTCATACCTTGTACTTGGTACGCGTATCCACAACCAATTGATTTAACTTAAGTTTCTGTCTATGCACTCAGCTCGTGGACCGCGTCCACCATGGCTCTGACGTGGTCCACGGGGGTTTCCGGGAGGATGCCGTGGCCGAGGTTGAAGATGTGGCCCGGGCGGCCTTGCACCCGCCGGAGGATGTCGCCGACCCGCCGGCGGATCTCCGCTGGCGGCGCGAACAGGGCCACGGGGTCGAGGTTGCCCTGGATCGCCATGTCGTGGCCCACGCGGCTCCAGGCCTCGTCGAGGTCCACGCGCCAGTCCACTCCCATCACGTCGCTGCCCGCCTCCCGCATCAGCTCCAGCAGACCGCAGGTGCCGGTGCCGAAGTGGATGACCGGAACGCCGGGTGTCACCCCCGCCATCAGCCGGCGCATGTGCGGCAGCACGTACTCGCGATAGTCGTCGGGCGCCAGACAGCCCACCCAGCTATCGAACACCTGCAAGGCGTCGATGCCGGCGTCGATCTGCGCGTTGACATAGGAAAGGGTGGACGCCACCAGCCGTTCCATGAGCGCGTTCCAGGCGCCGGGGTCGGTGTGGTACAGCCGCTTGGTGTGGATGTAGTTGCGCGAGGCGCCGCCCTCGATCAGGTAGGACGCCAGCGTGAAAGGGGCGCCGCAGAAGCCGATCAGCGGCACGCGTCCGTTCAGCGCCGCGCGGGTGCTGCGGACGGCCGCGTATACGTACGACAGGGACTCTTCCGGCACCGGATCGCGCAGCGCGTCGATGTCTCCGCCCGTCCTAACCGGCCGTTGAATCACCGGACCGCCGGTGGCGTACTCGAGGCCTACCCCCATGGGCTCCAGCAGGAGCAGGATGTCGGCGAAGAGGATGGCGGCGTCCACGTTGAGGCGCTCCACCGGTGTCACGGTGACCTCGGCCACCAGATCCGGCGTCTTGCACAGATCGAGAAAGCTGACCTTGGCCCTCACGTCGCGGTAATGCTGCATGTAGCGTCCCGCCTGCCGCATGAGCCATACCGGTGTGTAAGGGGTCTTGCCGCGGCGGCAGGCGGTGAGAAACGGGTGCTCTGTAGAGGTGTCGGTCATCGTATCTGCCTGAAGTCCAAAGTAACTGCGAGCTGCGCCCTTCGACTTCGCTTCTTCGCTACGCCGGTCCTGAGCTTGTCGAAGGGCTCAGGGCGAACGGTGGGCCATGCCATTGGCCCCGGACCGCGGGGTCCATCACATGCTCAGTGCGAGCGGTTCTTTCCGGCGCCCAGCGTGACGGTGCCCTCGCCATACTTGTGCCGCAGGCGGTCGATGCCCTTGTAGAGCTCGTCCATGGATGCCCGCTCGCGGTAGTCGAACATGGAGTCCTGCCACCCCTCGGTGGTGATGCCGCTGGTGCTGATTCCGAGCAGGCGTACCGGCCGTCCGGGCGTCAGGTTGCTCGCGAGCAGCTCCCGGGCAACCTTGAAGATGTCCACGTCGAAGCACGTGGGCGCTTTCAGGGTGCGCGACCGGGTGATGGTCTTGAAGTCGGAATAGCGGAGCTTGAGGGTGATGCGCCGGGCGCGGCCCCCCTGGCGGCGCAGTCTCGCCGCCACGTCTCCCACGAGCCCGCCCAGCACCTGCTCCATGGCCGCCGCATCGGTGAGCAGTTGCGCAAGCGTGGTCTCGCTTCCAATCGAATGCTCGTGGGCGCGTCCGCTCTCGGTGGTGCGCTCCAGGTCCAGGTAACGGCGGCCAAGCCGGGGATGTGCGAGAAGCTGAGCCACCGTGGCGATGCCGCGGCCCACCAGCTCACGGTAGGTCTTGGGGCCGACGCCGGGGATGGCCGAGACGTCGAGGGGCCCCAGGAAACGCTCTTCGGACCCCGGAGGCACGTAGAGCAAGCCCCGGGGCTTGACCGCGGTGGCGGCGATCTTGGCCAGGGTCGGGTGGGTGGCGAGGCCCCCGGACGACGGCAGCCCCAGATCGCGCTTGATGCGGTCGATGATCTCGTTTGCGGTGCGTATGGGATGGCCCATCAGCCGTTCCGTGCCGGTCAGGTTCACGAGTCCCTCGTCGATGGAGAATGCCCGGACGTCGGGCGAGAAGCAGCGGAGCAGGTCGAATACCTTCCTGGAAAATTCGCTGTAAACCCCGCGCCGGCCGGGGACGAAGATGCCGTCCGGGCAGAGCCGGCGCGCCTGGAAACCCGGCATGGCGGACCGGACCCCGTATTGACGGGCTTCGTAGGACGCGGAGGTAACCACCCCGCGGCCCGCGCCGCCGCCCACCATCACCGGCTTGCCCTCCAGGGAAGGATCGAGGACGCGCTCCACGGACACGTAGAAGGAGTCCATGTCGATGTGCAGGTATAAGGCCATACGGTTAGTGTCCTGTGCGGTCAATGTTAACAGTCTTGGCGCCGGGGAGTCCATCTGGTGTCCTGTCCCGCAATACGTTCAGGGACACTCTGACTATTTGCCATCGTCCGGCGTTGCCTCGCCGGCGCCCACAGCCGGCGATTCAGCGCGACAACGGGCACGGGCGGGTTTGAAACCCGCCCCTACAACTGCCACGCCCGGACGCGGCAATTGGTCAGAATGTCGTCAGGAGGATGCGCAGCACTGCTTGTTGCCGGCAAGGCGCAATGGCCTGTAGGGGCGGGTTTCAAACCCGCCCGTGGGCGGGAGGGCACCACGGGCGGAAGAGCGATCGGAAAGCCACAGTGGCATTCCTTTTGCTGCCACCCTATGATGAATCGCCAGGAACCTGCGCTGTAGCAACACGAGGGTGTAGGGGCGGGTTTCAAACCCGCCCGTGCCCGCACCGCGCTGTCTTTCGATACAGGCTCCCGGGAAACTGAGGGGGTGAGGCGTGGCACGAGCCAGGGTCATCTACGAATGTCAGAACTGCGGCTTTCAGTCGCCCAAGTGGCTGGGCCGGTGCCCGGACTGCAGCCAGTGGAATTCGCTGGTGGAGGAAGCGGTCACGGCCCAGCCCCACGCGCGGGGCGACGGGGACGCCGGCCCGGCGCGGGCGCCTTCGCCCATCCACGCCGTGACCACGGATACGGACAGCCGCATGCGGTCAGGCATCGAAGAGTTCGACCGGGTGCTGGGGGGCGGCCTGGTGGACGGCTCCGCGGTGCTCATCGGCGGCGACCCGGGCATCGGCAAGTCGACGCTGCTGCTTCAGGCAGTGGCGGCCCTGAGCCACGACGGACCGCCCTGCCTTTACGTCTCCGGCGAGGAGTCGGAGCAGCAGGTCAAGATGCGGGGACAGCGCATTTCCCTGGCGTCTTCGAACCTGCTGGTGCTGAGCGAGACGTCGCTGGAGCGCATCCTGGAACAGGTCAGGGCGGTCAAGCCCGCGGTGCTGGTGGTGGATTCCATACAGACGGTGCACACCTCCGCCATCCCTTCCGCTCCGGGGAGCATCGGGCAGGTCCGGGAGTGCTCGAGCGCATTGATTTCCCTGGCCAAGAAGAGCGGCATCGGCACCTTTCTCGTGGGTCACGTGACCAAGGACGGCGCCATCGCCGGCCCGCGCATCCTTGAGCACATGGTGGACACGGTGCTCTACTTCGAGGGCGAGCGCGGTCACAGCTTCCGCATCCTGCGGGCGGTCAAGAACCGCTTCGGCTCCACCAACGAGATCGGCGTGTTCGAAATGCAGGAAGCCGGCCTCCGGGGAGGTGTCCAACCCCTCGCAGATTTTCCTTTCCGAACGGCCTCTGGGAGGGTCGGGCTCGGTGGTGGTCCCGAGCATGGAGGGAACTCGCCCGATCCTGGTGGAGATCCAGACGCTGGTCACCCGGTCCTTTCTCACCCTGCCCAGGCGCACGTGCATCGGCGTGGAGTCCAACCGGGTGGCGCTGATCCTGGCGATTCTGGAGAAGCGGAAAGGGATGAACTTCTACGACAAGGACGTTTTCATCAATGTCGCCGGCGGCGTCAGCGTATCCGAACCGGCCGTGGACCTGGGCATCGCGGTGGGGTTGGCCTCGAGCGCGCTGGACCGGCCGGTGGACCCCTACACGATCTTTGTCGGCGAGGTGGGACTGGCGGGAGAGATCCGCACCGTGAGCCGGGCCGAGGCGCGGGTGGCCGAAGCGGGCAAGCTGGGCTTCCGCAAGTGTGTCCTGCCCCAGGGCAACTGCCGGCAGCTTCCGCATGTCACGCATCCCGAGTTGGTGGGCGTCGCATCACTGGACCAGTGTTGGGAGAACATCTGGTAGGGGCGACCGGCCGGTCGCCCCTACCTAGGAGCCTCTATCAGCCGGCAACGCTGTGCGAGCACGGGCGGGTTTGAAACCCGCCCCTACACGGTCGTCTACCGTGATCGTCCTGCGGCGCAGACTGCTAGTGTGGTGTCTCACAAATACGGTTATGAAGATGCGAGGGCATTTTGGTCGTCGGCAAGGCGTCCTTCGACTTCGCTGCGCTACGCTCAGGACGAGCAGTGGCGTGCACCACGCGAGGAAGAGCAACGCAGCCGACGGCCAAAAGGACCCGCAGATTCGTAAGCGTATTTGTGAGACACCACACTAGCCCAAACCCGGCATCACTGCGCCGCAGGAACCGGACATCCGATGTAGGGGCGGGTTTTAAACCCGCCCGTGCCCGCACGGCGCTGCCGCCCGATACGGACTCTTAGCCCAAACCCGGCACCACCTGTTCGGAAAAGAGATCCACGGAACGAAGGGCCTCGTCGAGGGCGATGTCGCCGAAGGCGAACTGCCCGATGAGATAGTTGGCGCCGGCCGTATCGAGCTGTGACCGCAGGAACGTCCGGACCGTGTCCGGACTGCCGGCGATCCCCTGGCCGGAGGCGATGACGCCGTCGAAGTCCGAGGGACGTTGATGCGTCGGCGAGCTTCCCCTGAGCCGGAACAGGTGGTTGAAAGCTCCGGTGCCAGACGGGGTAGGCGCGCCGGGCGATGCGAAGCGCCGCTTTGTCATCGTCGGCCACCACCACGAAGCGGCCAAGGCCGATCTTGGGCAGGGCCGCGTCACCGTCCCCGTGAACCTCCCTCCAGACCTCCCGGAAACGATCGGTGAAGCTCCGCGTGGGAACCGCCGGATCCAGGCTCACGATGTTGAGCGCACGGCGGGCGGCCCGCTCGGCGCTTTCCGGCGAGTGAACGCCGTACCAGAGCGGGGGGTGGGGCTTCTGCAGCGGCTCCAGCTCCATGGGCACGTCCTTGAAGTTGAAGAATTCGCCCGCGAAGTCGAGGGTCTTTCGGGTCAGTCCCTGCAGGATGAGGTCGAGGCCTTCCGCGTAGATGCGTTGCGCCTCGGCGGGGTTCTGCCCGTACACCGCAAGCTCGATGGGGGAGGAGCCGCGGCCGAAGCCGATCTCCAGCCGCCCGCCGCTCATCTGATCGAGCATGCAGATCTCTTCGATGAGCCGTAGCGGGTGGTAGAGCGGAAGGGCGTAGACCAACGGTCCGAAACGAAGCCGCCGGGTGCGCTGGGCGACGGCCGCCAGGAACACGCTGGGGGAGGGGGCCATGCCCAGCGGCGTCGAGTGGTGCTCGGCCACGTGGTAGGCGTAGAACCCCTCCCGCTCGTACGCCTCGATCAGCGTCAGACGCGCCTCGTAGTAGTCCTTCAACGGCAGATCGCCGCGGTCCAGATGATCGAATACGCCGAAGTCCATGTGCCGAGCCCGGAGATGGAGCAAATGCTCAATCAGCCTGGTACAAGGAGAGCACGCGTTTTCCGGGAAGGCCCTGCGCTTCTCTTTGCTCCACCCATTCCTGTTCGAGCTTCTTGACCGCGGGGGAGTTTTTCCACTTGTTCCGATCATCCTCGGAGAACTTGATGACCTTCATGCCTTTGGCCACCAGTTCCTGTTTGAACTTTACGTCTCCGTCCTTCATGGCCTGCGCTTCCCAGGCCCCTGCTTCCTTCCCCACCTCCAGAATGATCTTGCGCTGTTCCGGCGTAAGGCTCTCCCAACGACCACGGTTTATGGTGATGAGATTCACGCCCGCAAGCCCTCCCAGGTCCACCTCGCTGATGTACTTGGTAACCTCATAGAGCTTGAAGCGCTTGGTGGCTTCATACGACAGCACGCGTGCGTCGATGGTCCCCCGCTGCAGCGCCTGGTACATCTCTCCTGCGGTAATGCTCACCGGGACGGCACCCGCGGCGTGCATGAGCTTCGGCACGATGCGGCCGAATCCGCCTACCTTCTTACCCTGCAAGTCCGCAAGGTTGCGGATGGGCGTCCGACTGGGCAACTGGAAGCTGCCGGTCGAGAACACGGACACGGCTACATGGCCGAAGCGTTCCCATTCCTTGCGGACCTCGGGAACCTCCTCGATCAGGCGCAGCGCGTTGTTGCGCATCTTTACCGGATCGTTCACGGAAAAGGGCAGCGTTGCCACGGTGATCAGCCGCAGCTTGTCAGAAAAGTACGACACCGCGAGGTGTCCGATATCGGTGGTACCTATCTGGACTGCTTCCAGGACCTCTTTTGCGTGAACCAGAGAGTTCGCCCAATAGATCCGGACCTTGATTTGACCCCCGGTCCGCTGCTCGACCCCCTTGGCAAAGCGCACCAGGAGATCCGGCACGGGGGTTCCGGGCCCGCCGGACATGGTCGCCACCTTCAGGATCGTCGCCGCGCCCGCCGGCGCCGCCGTCGCCATGACCAACGGCAGGAACCCCGCCACGAACAACAACACCAGCCTTCTTGAAAAACGTCTCTGTCTCATTGGATGCCCCTCCTCCGAATTACCACGAGATGCTTCTGACCCGATGCTGCGCTCATCACCCGCCGGCAAGCTCGCGCAGCCGGGCGTATGACAATGAGCGCGCTGGTGGCGATGGTGCCGCCGTGCTTGACCATCGTGGCGAGGGCCAGAAGCGCGGCAGGCTCCAGTATCACGTACGAGTTGTCTGTCGTTGTCGTGGCGTATCCTCCTCCGCGTGGCTGCCGACGGGACCCGACGCTACGACAGATCCGTGGATGCTGTCAACGCGCGTTCCAAGGCGGCCCCCGCGGCGTCCTCTGGACAGCACCGGCGAAGAATGTAATAAGAGGGAAGAGCGTTTTCACCCCCCGTTCCCGACGAGACAAGCTCCTGCACTCCTGTCTGTGGGTCCCGCTGAGGCGGGTGGCAGCAACACCATGCCCGACCTCATCCTGTCCGACATCGTCCTTTATCTCCTGTCCGGCCTCGTGCTGGGCTTTCTGATCGGCCTTACCGGCATCGGCGGCGGGGTCCTGACGGTCCCGTTCCTTTTGCTCGTCATCAAGCTGGAGCCCATTGCGGCGGTGGGAACGGCCGGGCTCTACGGCGTTCTCACCAAGATCTGGGCTGCCGTCCGGCACTACCGGCAGGGGACCCTCAACGTGGAAGTCGGTATCCGTTTCTTTCTGGCTTCAGTAACCGGGGTCATCGTCGGCTCTGTGGCGGTGAAATGGAGCCGGTTGTCCCTCTCCCCGAGCGGGGTCGAGACGCTTCAGGACGTGGTCAGCTACATGGTCTTGGCGTCCATCTGCTTCGCGCTGGTGGCGCTGCTGTTCGACTACGACCGATTGGACACCCGTTTTCTCTCTTCCAGAAGGGGCACCGTGGTGAAGTTTCCGTCGCTCTTTCTGGTGGGCGTGGTCATGGGAATGACGTCCATCGGGGGAGGCATCCTGATCATCCCCTCGCTGCTGCTCTTCTACCGGGAGACGTCCCGGTACGTCGGCACGTCGATCTTCGTCGCGCTGCTCCTGATGACCGTGATGTCCACCCTCTACGCGTTCATCGGCCGGGGCCAGGGCGCCGCTGACGTTGACCTCACCATCGCGGTGTTCATGTCCGCAGGGTC